TCCTGCCATACAGTCTTACTACAAATAGGCATATTTATTATACTCTAGAAATAAACAAACAAACAAACAAAAAAAACATTATGCCCTAAGCATATCTTCAGAATGACATGCTGTTTTCTGTGGATCTTACTACAAATAGGCATATTTATTATACTCTAGAAATAAACAAACAAACAAACAAAAAAAAACATTATGCCCTAAGCATATCTTCAGAATGACATGCTGTTTTCTGTGGATTTCATTAACTGTGATCAACACACAGTTTCTATCATGCTGTTCCACACGTTTCACATATTGAAAGACGACAAATGTAACACATTCAATGATGAAGTTGCATGTCTGAGACTGTGGGACTAGGGGAGCATGGACAATCAGGAAAGTAGGGATGCAGAAGATGGAAGATAAGGTGGCATGTATTGTCCTGTGCTGTGTTACAAGGAAGAGGGAAAGAGATAAGAAGGGATATGTGTACAGGAGTATGTACTGTGATGGGCTGTGCTATGATTAAGATATACATTTGCAAGAAAAAGCTGGATGGAGGTGAAAACAAGAGGCTACTCTAATGGAAAATATTTAAGCTGAAGATGAATCCTATTTGCTGGGAACAAGGGGTAAGATTCTAGTATTTGTGGTGTGATTTGCCATATTAACTATTCAAGTGGTGTGAGCTCGCTTGGCCAGTCAACGTGGCAGGAGCGGAGAAGGAAAATCACAGTATTAGTACAACTTGAGAACAATCTCAGTGAATTTACTCTGGACCAAGGTATTAACTAAATCCATTGACTGACATCACAATTTCACCATGTTAAAAGTCATGAGAAAATTTCATCATTAGAGCTTTGTAAGTGGCAGAAAACACAATCAACACTCTAATGTGGCATACCGCCCTAGGTATTACTAGTTATTTACCAGGGTACAAGCCTCACTGGTAAGCTTTTCCAAAAAGTCAAAAGGTTATAAACACAGTAAACTGGTACTAACTGCAAGAAAAAAGTTTAAATCATGGGCAGGAAAAAAAAAGAAAAATTTAGAACCAGGGAAAATTAAGCATCAAGATTCTGGTGTGACAGCTTTTCTTGCTGTTCAGAAAGCAAAATAAGGGTTTCGGTACAGACTCCCTTTTTTTAGATTTTCACTGGTGGTGGAAAAGTAAAGATAAAAGTAAAATGATATTGAATTAAGGGTGACTGGGTGTGTTCATTCAAATTTTCATGGAATTTTTCTTCACAGAGAGATAATATATACTACCTAAAATTAAAACAACCTAAAGCAGAAAAATGGTCATTTAAATAAACATAACAAAAATCACAAGATACAAGGTTCTGTTAGGTCCACTGACAAACAAAATTTTACTCCTGAGACTGCTGCTGAATTTTAGGATTAATAATTAGCTTTATAATAATCTCAAGGAAAAAATGCCTAAAAATTATGTTGAACATAGCTGGGTTTAAATTACTATAGACAAGTGAAATTCCCTGATCTCTAGTCAACTCTATTTCTCTTTAGTCATGAGCCCTTCAGAGAAACAATTTTTTTTTTATTCTCTCAGCCCTTTCTTCTAAATGCCAGCTGAATACCAGAATTTTTGTCTTGCCTGGGCCTACTGAAATGACACTTAATAAAATAATGAAAGCAGCTTTGTGACTCAACAAGCTTAATCACATAGAATGTTTATAAATGGGCAAATAATTCAGTCAGCAAATATAATGCAGGCATTACGTTATATGTGTTATATTTCAACCTCCACTTTTTAAAGCTTCTGGTCTACAGTAACCATCTGGGGAACAGGAAAAATAAAACCAGTACTTAATACTCTATAGCAAATTGCAGCTATGGCAGACAGTACTGGCTGTTCCCCACCTTCAGCCTTGCTAACAGAATCTTGACTGTTCAGACACTGCGAGCACTTGTGCTTCCTGATCCCCTCCCTAATCCCAGGAATACATGTGTTGATTAATCTAAGAAGTCCTCAGCACCAATATCCCCTGGGAACTGCTTAGAAATGATACGTGTGGGCCCCACTCCAGGACTACTGAATCAGAAACTTTGGAGATGGGGCCCAGCCTTCTGTGTGTTATCAAACTCTCCAGATGACTCTGATGCACGCTAACATTTGAGAACCCCTGGTCTAAACTAACCGTGGCAATTCTGTTCCCTTTGCCAAATGCTGTATGAGGCTACTTGTGTGACCAATGAGGCCTGAGAGGCAGTCTCCTGGGAAGTTTCCAGGTGTGCTTTACTTGTTCACATAAGGAATGAGAGGAAATGCACCCATCCCTCCTATTTTTGGTTCAGATATTGTCATGTCTTCATGTAATGTACACTTGCAACTGTAGCAGCAATCTTGTGACCATTAGGTGGTAAACCCAAAGGTCAAGCCAATAAGCCAACGATGGCAAAGGGGAAGGACAGAAAGAGTCTGGGTTCCTGGTAACCTTGGTGAGCTACTGAATTAACCCTAAAAATACCTAACCTCCAAAATCCTAGTTAAATAATATATTTAAAAGCCCCATGTGTAAGCTATTTTCAGTTAGTCTTCTGTTAATTTGCAATCCTGCCCATTTGTTTGTTTAGTTAAGGCAAGCCTCAAAATAGTATAAACATAATCTCATTTTATAATATATAATTTTATACATATCATATAGAATTTAATTACGTATTGTAATGTTCAGTGATAGTTTATTCCATTACATAATATTTTAATAGCAAGCATTTTAAAAGAAAGAATCTATAACTTTATTAAATGAAAATACAAAAAACTTTTAGAATGACGTTATCGAAGTTATTTTTGGGTTTTGGTTCTACTAACTATCTGTGGAAACTTGAACAAATTGCTGAACAGATTTAGGCCTCAATTTTCTAACCTATGGAAGGAAAGTGTAAATTAAATCATAGATATGTTCCTGTCCAATATAAAGAATTATACTCTTAAACTTTCAAGAGCTTCCGGACAGGGCGATCGTGACAAGAGTTCCTCTCTTTAATGAGTTCTATCAATAGGAAATTTTTATATGATGACAATACTTACTATTATGCAACTGATTTATTAATTGCTATACAACAGACAACCAACAAATATTTCTAGAAAAGGGTGACATGTCAGAGGTGCCCAGCTAAAAGGCTGAAAGCTCAGTGCTCAGTATCTGCTCCTGCCAACTCCCAGTTACTTATGCTAAAAGAAGGATGGCATTCTGTGGGTAAACACTCTAAATCCAAGGCCTCAAATTCACTTGCTGATTTAACTTCCTCCCCATGCAAAAGTCAAAAAGTACAAAATGCAAAACAACTGACTGGTGTTTCTACCATCCACTGGAACATCGGTTAAACTAAGACAAAAAGAGGAGGCAGCAGATTGATAAATAGCAAAGTTGATTTTAAAAAATCATCAGCCTCAGAATTAAATGTGATTTATAATTATTTTTGGAAAGGCAAAAGTGTCCTCACACTCTCACTGCAACACTAAATGTACATTAAATCTGTATCAGATGAATCAACAGGTACAGAGTATTTTTTAATATAATATACTTCAAGGCCTCTTTATTTACAGCATTAGATGTCAAAAAGCTTTACAATAAAAAAAAAGGCACAACTTCTTCCTAATCAGAGGGTATCTCCTAGAATGAAAAATGCTACTGCAGTATTACTAAAACAAGGACTCCAACAACTAATGTCACCTGTGCCAACACAACCATCAAAAAGGATGATCAACAAAATGTCAAAACAATATATGCTTTTTCCTGTAAAAGCAGAAATACTAGTACAGGTAAAAAAAAATCCTTTTATAATAAACTCGCAATACAACCACACTCATTGATTGTTACTTAACTTTTTTTTTAAACTACTATAATACTAAAACCATATGCCCAAGCTGCAGAGCTCAGATATGACAGAATTGATGCATGACTGTCATGGAGTGAACTTATTTATTCATGCCAGGTTCCACTTCCAAAAAAAAGATTTGAGGCTGAAACAGGGTGAACTGGCAGGGCAAACTAAACTGGATGAACAGGGAAGAGGTAGCATGCATATACAATATTTTCACCTTTTCTCCTGCTCACCTTTTAGATTCCGTGATAGGCTTTATTTTAAAGGCCAGTTTAAAGATTAGTTTAGCTGAAGTAACTGGAGTGTTTAAAATGGGATAGGAGGAGGAGCCCAGAAAAATAACTGCTATGTGATGACAGAACAAAAGAAGCAGAAAGAGAGCATCTACAGCTCAACAGGGCAGGTGTTCTGTCCACCTATGACCAGACAGCACACAGTCAAGTTCTTTAGGTCCAGAGGGACTGGGAAAAGAGGAAACACAGCAATTCTACTTCTAGAAATTTAACCCAAGAAAAAAATTAGGGAAGCACACAATATTTAGCTCAAGGATATTCACTGCAGGACTGTATAGAAGAACAGAGGATTGGTCAAACACACCATGCTACAACTATCCAGGGGCATACCACTAAGGTAATAAAAAATAATGAATTTAAGTATTCAAAGACGTGCAAAATATCACTATAAACTGGTAAGTGAAAAAGCCGCCTACTAAGCATTATGAACTATAGGATCCCCCCTTGTAAAAAATCTATATATAAGTAAAGACAGGTATATTTATATTATACCTATGCATAGATAGAATTCTGGAAGTATACAGAACCAACTGTGGTGAGATTATGGGTGCTTTTATATTTCCCGGTTTTGTTTAGCTGTACTCCCTAATTTTGTATTTCTATGATAAACATATACCAGTTTTATAATAGGAAAAAAAATTACTATAATACTTAATGGGCAGAGATACAGTAAGTACTTCATATTTAGAGATATTCATTGTATAGCATTTACTACAAAAGGAAAAGAAACATTTGCTTTAATAGGTCATTTTGGGAACATGAAATAGCTGTTATATGGAACTGTTGTTTATAATAGTACTAAAAGTAATGGAATTTCATCTATTAAAAATATTTACCCTAGTATTTAAAACTACTGAAATGGGAAAACAAAGAGATACTTACGGTTGAGTAAAGTCACGAGTGATGAAATCAGAACTCTTGAAAAGTAGAAAGATGTCGCTGAGGGTTTTACATTTCAGAGAACTATTCATGGCTATCCAGTAAGCATCCTAAATAATAAAGCACATGCTATTTAGCACATATTCCATGTTAGTTGCTATGAATGAAGCCCAGGCCTAGAAACAAAATCAATAATGCATACCATTTCAAGGGTTTCAAGAAAAAAGTCAAGCAAATTTTAGCAATTCTGTCAAATATTAAATTACACTTCTCAGCACCAAAGAGCATTACCATTGCATGCCAGACTCTCAATTATGAACACTGAGATGTTAGGGTTCTCTCATTTTAGCCTGGGCCCAAACATTTCCCAATGTTTTTCTTACTAATGATGGTAGAAGGAGGGAATGAAGTATCAGAAACACTGACACTCCAGATAGAAGATAAAAGTGGTAAAGAAACAGCCTGACCAGCTACTCTCCAAGAAAAAAAGAGATCATCTTCCTCCTTCCTATTTCTGGGGATTGACAGCTGAACGCCTGAACTTTGATGGTTCGGACAGTTAAGACCCATGTCTAGTAAACCTGGGAGAGAAGGAGGTGAGATAGTCTGAACCATCACAACTTTAAACAATGAATGTCTCACACACAACAACAAACAAACAAGGAATAGCAGGTACAATAGACACAAAGCCTCGTGGAACATACCTAATAATGACAGCATAATTGCATCATTTGAAAAACACATCTCTCCTATAGATAGATCAGACACAGGACAGTAACATAACTTTGAGAAAATTAATGAAAAAAGCATCCAATTATCCACACTACATAGAAGAAAACACTGGCACATAGCAGGCACTCAATAAATAACAAATAAACAAGTGAAAAACTCAAAACTATAAACCTATCTCAATAAACCCATTGTAAGTTGAAAACATAAGTCAAAAATGCATTTAATTCACCTAATTTACTGAACATCATAGCTTAGCCTAGCCTACCTTAAATGTGTTCAGAACACTTACACTACCCTGCAGTTGGGCAAAATCATCTAAGACAAAACCTATTTTACAATAAAGTGTTGAATAACTCATATAATTTTACTGAATACTGTACTGAAAGTGAAAAACAGAATGGTCGCATGGGTACTCAAAATCGTTTCTCCTGAATGCATATTGCTTTTGTACTGCTATAAAATCAAGAAACTGTAAATTGAACAATTGTAAGTTGGGGACCATCAGCATAATGAGTACACACATTTAACTCCACTGAAATAACAGTATGTACATAACAAACCATGCAAATGAATGAACACAGCAATTATTAACTCCAGGAAAACAAAATGCTGAATAATAAAACAAAAGTAATAACAGTATAGTATATTACCAGATGTGTACAGTAGCCTCCCCTTACCTGTGGGGGATACATTACAAGACCCCCAGTGGAAACTGGGGATAATACTGAACCCTATACATACTATGTTTTTTCCTATACATACGTGCCTATGGTAAAGTTTAATTTATAAATTAGGCACAATAAGAGATTAACAACAATAACTAATAATAAAACAATCATAACAAAATACTGTAATAAAAGTTATATAAATGTGGTCTCTCTCAAAATAGTGTAATATTTTTGGATTGTGGCTGATTGCAGGTAACTGAAACTGTGACAAGTGAACCTACAGATAATGGGGGACTACTGTGCACAGTGCTTGCATAATCATAGTAACTGGACACACTGAATATTGATCTAATCAAAATTTGATGTATCTATAATGAAGACAGTGGAATAGAAAGTAGAGGGGATGAGAGGTGAAAGAGCTGAATTTTTCTGTTTCAGAGTGGAAAATCAATAATAAATACCTAAAACTGAAAAATAAAGAAACAGATGAAGAGTGTACTAAAATATTTGAAAGTGGTTGCCTTTAGGGAGTGGAAAATCATGAAGTAGGACCGGCCTGTGGCTCACTCGGGAGAGTGTGGTGCTGATAACACCAAGGCCACGAGTTCGGATCCCACACAGGGATGGCCGGTTCGCTCACTTGGGAGAGCGTGGTGCTGACAACACCAAGTCAAGGGTTAAGATCCCCTTACCAGTCATCTTTAAAAAAAACAGAAAATCATGAAGTAAAATGGGTGTCATGACCTGCTGATTTTTGTAGTGAGCTTGCAGATCTATTTGAAATTTTAAACTATGTACCTGTGTAACTAATTTTAAAAAGTAAAAATTAGATTAAGTACAAGTTACCATTCGTTTTAGAATTTAAAGGCACAAGATGATTTTTGAAAATTTGCATAAGCTTTTGATTCCTTAAATGAGCTTTGCTGACATAAAACTGTCTTCTATTGGATTAGAAAAAATAGAGAATTTCCCTATAAGCCTTAACTTTTACAAAAATTTTGTCAATGCAATATTAAAATAATAAAACACAAATTAAGAAAATATCAGTTGATTTCTCAAACTGCTTTATTTCTACATCCTGTGACATTTTTATACCTTTTCAACAGAGAAAAACTATTCTGTTAAACTGAACAGCTGAAGTTTTGAATAGAGCTGAGAATGAATTTCCTCAGAATTCTAGTGCAATCAGCAACACAAGAGGTTGAAACTGTCTTCTTGCAGAATATACAGTATTTCACAGACCCAGGAAAGTGTACAGCAAAATTGGGGAGGGGGGGGAATAACAGGGAAAGTAATAATAAATTCCACGATATTTTTCCTAAAATTCAGAATATAATTAGACCTGCTATAGGGATATAAAATGAAATGAACAGCAAAACAAAGAATATTCAAAATATTCAAAAGAATATTAAAAAATAATAAGAGATTTACTTATGTGTTCTTACCCTTGGGGCACTCCAGTTAAGTTTAGGAAAGACACTGCCCCCCAAGGAATTGATAGCTTCCTGGACTGTAGTGGTGAACTCAGGAAATTCTGGTGCCTACATAGAGAAAGCAGAAATCATTTGAGCAAGTCAATATCATCACAGTAAATATGAAAAACAAGATAAAAGTTTTAAGGTTATAGTTTAGAGTGTTAAAGCAGAACTTAGTATACAAATTACTATCAGAATTTTTTTTTTTTTGTGACCGGTAAGGGGATCACAACCCTTGGTGAGCGCACCGGCCATCCCTATATAGGATCCGAACCCACGGCGGGAGTGCCACTGCGCTCCCAAGCGCTGCACTCTACCGAGTGCGCTACGGGGCCGGCCCACTATCAGAATTTTTTAACTCAGTTAAACAAAATCAGTGATCAAATAACATTTACCAGAGAGATAAATAATAACCAGCTGCTCAAATAGCACTTTCCAAAAGAAAATGCACAAAGCTAAAAAGACAGACAGATGTCACTAGGCATCTGGGGATGTGAGGAAGGTGTTCAGTACACATAAAACCAGTATTTATTAAGTGAAAAGAGACAGGTGGAATAGCACTGTACCTAGTTCTCAAAAATCACACTCCACACCTAAAGAGTCAGAAGCCTTTCCATTTGCAGAAAAAATGTCTTGGACAGAGCCCCAAAAGACTTCATGAGAATGAAAAATAAATGATGTGGTAAACTGTATTTAAACACTGCTATTCCCAGACAGGTTTTAATATAAACCAAACTCAAAAATAGGACCTTGGTCAAGTGAAAATGTTCCTTCCATTTTGTTTGATTTTAAAATGCGTATTTTACACAAGCAAAGTGACTGAAAGATTCTAAGTATTGGTTTCAACCGGGACATAAAAAGAAATGCTGTTGTTAAATGGGAACTTAAGCTTGATATCCATCATGCCCTGTCTTGAGCAATTTATGTCACTGTCAACAGAGCTCATGACCTAAGTTAGAGAAAAAAAAAGTAACGGCTGGCCAATTGGCTCACTTGCTTAGAGCATGATGCTGATAACACCAAGGTCAAGAGTACAGATCCCTTTACTGGCCAACTGCCAAAAAACAAAAAAACAAAAGAAAAGTAAAAAAGGTGAAGCCTTCAGAAGACGGAATACAAACATACTAACAGGTTCTCCACATGGTCATTTATTCACATTATCCCTGCAAAGGGGACTGCTGCCCCCTACTGGGCAATTTTGCAAGTTATGAAAAAATCCAGTAATCAACTTACTCCAAGACCAAAAAAAAAAAATCAGACTAGGTCTAGAATTAACTAAACTACACATTTCGAAAACAAATCGAATGGTTTATGCAGATCCCCAAGATCTAACCCAGTTGAGAGAAAAAACTGTGACAAGAGTCTGGAAGGGAAACAGACCAAAGAAATAAGTTTTAAAAAATAGTAATATATGGGGCCGGCCCGGTGGCGCACTGGATAAGTGCGCCGCTTGGGAAGCGCGGCGGCGCTCCCGCCCGAGGGTTCGGATCCCACGTACAGACCGGTTCCCGCTCACTGGCTGAGCGAGGCGCGGGAGCAACACCGAGGGTTGCAATCCCGTTGCCGGTCCCTGGTCCGGTACGGGGGCAACACTGAGGGTTGCGATCCGTTGCCGGACACGGAAAAAGACAAAAGACAAAAAAAAAAAAAGTAATATATGGCAAATAGTTGTAAGTTTGTTAAGACAAAAAGGGAAAAGAAAAAATAAGCAATATACCCACAAAACTAGAAGCAGGTTTAAGCCAGTAAGAAAAGAAGTGAGAGCATGCCGACCCCGTGGTTCACTCGGGAGAGTGCGGTGCTGGGAGCGCAGCGGCCACCGCGGGTTTGGATCGTATATAGGGACAGCCGGCGCGCTCAGCGCGGTGCGGCCGACACCTAGCCAAGGGTTACAATCCCCTTACCGGTCACAAAAAAAAAAAAGGAAAGAAAAGAAGTGAGAGTTTAAGGACCAATTAGGCTCTTTCCTTCTGCTACTGCTAAGACTGACCTCTAGACTGGCTAACAACTATAGGCTGCCCCTGGATCTATCTTGTGTTGGACTACTTCTTTGGCTTAGATACATGAAATAAAACTGGAGTAATTTAGAAAGGCTTTCAAAATGAATAACAGCATTAAGAGTCCTTTCTTTTCGATTTGCCTCTCCCCATCAAAAGGGATTATGACTATGTTAAGCCAATGATTTCCTTATAATAAGCCATTGATTTGGCACCCCTAGAACACTATCCAAGAAAACCACTTTAAGATCTGACTTAGCAATATTTTCCTATAAACGGCACAGCTACACAAATTTTACATCATGAAGTGATTCAACCTTCAAAGACAAAACAATTTCATGTTCCTATCCCCCAAAACTTGACATCTAAGGATTGCTTTGTGTGTGTGTGTGTGTGTGTGTGTGTGTGTGTGTGTGTTGCATTTTAAAACATGTTGGTTCCCTCAAATCCTCAAAAATATGCAACCTTAGAAAATCTTGCCATAAGGATTACAAAACAAATTTAAATTATAAAAAGTTTATGCGTAGTTCTCAATGGAAGACTACGTACTGTCTATATACAGGGCACCCTTCTGGGTTACCTGATTCTAGCTAGGTCTGTGAGCTATTTCATGATTCAGTAAATTGTAGGTAAGTGTTAGCCATGTGAACTAATTCTTATGCACGTGCAATTTCCATTCTGTCTGAAAGAGGTCCAACTGTCTTCTCTCCCACCCTGGAAGAGACAAAACCAGTTTTATTTCATTTACATATTGTTTTCAATATTCCTCAACTATAAATATATATTTTCTTTGGATTCTCTTTTGAACCAGTTCTAACATTGGTCTGGTTCCTCTATAAGTTAAATAAAAGTTTTAACATGTCTTAAAGAGTTTTATATCTGTATGGGAGTTGTGATTTTACCATTTCCTGAAAATTATCTATAAACAAATTTAACTAATAGTATTCTTTTAAGCTCATAGCTCAACTAGCCAATTTTAAATACGCATAACACCTCAGTTGTCTGGGAAAAGGTTCCCATTGTAAATGGGATAAAATTTACACTTTTAACCAGATAGCCACTGACTTTCTGTGATCTGGACTCACCTACCCATCTTTCCAACCTCACACAGCACCCTCTACCACACCCATTCAGAAAGGATAGGATTTATTCATTCTTAATTGTTTTAGAATTATGAAATGTTTTAAATACAAAAAATGTATACCCATGTTTTCCTGGGTCGAAACATTCAATAATTTGGCATATCTGATCGAGACCTCTACAATTCTTTCATTTTTTCTAAATAATATTTTTTGGTTTTTTTTTTGCTTTTTGGACCTTTACACGTCTTAAAGGAAAAAACATTACAGATAGAAATTAAGCTCCTATCTCTTTGTTCTCCTCACTAATCCTTCTCTTCCTTCCCACAGGCAGTCATCGTTACCAAACTGGGATGTATTCTATATTCATGATTTCATACTTAGGTGTGCCTGTCCATAAAATATGGCATTCAAAAAATTTAACATAAATGCTGTCATGTGCTATGGTATACTTTTATCAACTTAATCTTTTAAATTCACCATGGTGTTTTTGAAATTTACCCATCTTGATTATTTTTCCCAATCATTAATTTGACTGCTTTTGCACCTACACTAATGG